AAGTCGGAACAAGACTGCTCATATATCAGGGCAAAGTTCTGAATGTTCCGACTGTCCCTAATTTATATCGAATAATTTTTGGGAAAAGAAAATTCTGAAAACCTGTACAATTTAGACAAAATCAGTGTAAAATTTTGAGTCGTTCGAAATTATTACGACCACCAATTAGCTAGCCTCAATTCAGTTTGGGACGATTTTGTTGATTGCTATAATTCGCCACGCATAAATAATTTGCGCTACGCTCTCATTATTATGAATAAACTCTTCAAAGCGTGCATTTAAATTTTGCTCCCATAAACTTAGATAAGCCCTAGATCCAAAATTTTGCTTTTTTTATTCCAGCCTCAGAGCCTTGTCAATCACACTCAAATTGGCTCAAACTTTCTCTCGATTGTTCACTCACAGACTTGAGGAATGCACTCGAAAATTTTGGAATCTACTTTCAAATGCGGAATCCAAAACAACTTGTTAATTATGCTCGTGACACAACTAGTGTGCCAATAATTTTACGTTGCAATGTTCCACAACAATTTGAAAAACAGGTTCCACTTACAAACTAATGATATAGTCAAAGACTTGTCTCTGGTTTCTGGGTACTACACGCAACAAACGGTGCGTGTATCCAGGGTCAACTTTAGCCCCGTAATGATTACTACCCGGGTTATTCAAAATCTTATAAGCATCATATATTTTATTGAAAGATTTTATAATCATGAAAAGTATACAAAGCTCGACTTTCGAAAAGAAAACGGAATATTAAGGCTTTGGTGATTTTTTATTCAGTCAATTGTCGATTTTTTAAGAAAATCGTTTTTGAAAGAAATTCTGGTGGCATCTGAAACATTTTAGTATCCCGAGCTCCAGTAAAAAAAAATTCACCTGTCATCTTTTTTAGTAAAGTAGAAGGGGTTTGAAAATAGCTAATTTGGCCATTTCGGGATAATTTACTTAAAATATATCACGCTTTTATAACACGCGTAAGTGGCTGACTTATAAGGTCAAATTGAATTGAGGCAAATCATTCGATTGATTTATTGATAGACAATGAGCCGGAAAAATTTCTATACTTCTCTGATCACCATATTCTTTTAAGTTTTTCAATTATCTAGAATTAATTTTTTTTCTTCTTATGATCATGCCCAAGCATTCTTGCTGCCATTTGAGGGATCTCGCAGTGTTTTAAGCTGACAAGAAAATCATTTGACTCAGATTATTCTTCAGATTTCGGTAAAGTCATGAATCTTGATCAAAAAAACCTCACGAGAGTTTTTTACCCCAAACTTTAAGTTTCAAGGAGAAAATTTTATGAGTTCGAGTGTTACTGTTTGTATTTAATTATTCCACTTCTGGGTTGACATTCTTAGAACAAAATTTCTAGTCATAATATTTCCTACATAAGTCTAAAAAATTGCTGGTCATACAAGTTTTATATAATTTTGTTAAAATGATGTAGCCTGAAAATTGTCCTCTAAAATTTGAAAACGTTTTTTTTTCTGCCAAAAACATGGTAATCATACAGTTTCTATGAAACAAAATTGTATTTCTAGACACCAAAAATTTACTAGACGTTTAGATTAGGTCTCAAAAAGAATTCGTTTGCTTTTAACTGCAAAACACTTTTTTAAACTTAAAGAAAAAAAATTCCTCGAACGTGCAAAGGAACTTTTTAGCAAGTACTATTTCTGTGCATAAGGTGGTACCGGACATACAAAAACTACCTTGCTTTTCAGTTTTTAAAATTGATGTTTTCATGAAATTGTTTGTGTGAGACATCCAACAATGCACATGCAAGACCAGAATTTCTTTAGTGTATCAACCTTTGAGTTACCAGGGCGTTTGCCATATGAATTCGGTTACAAAAAAAACTCATTATCCTTCATTGAAATACGCTAAAGATAAAATTCCATAAATGAAAAAGTACTAATATTTGACCCTTCATGCAATTTTTTCTCAAGATGCAATATCACGAAACTTATATGATTAGCATTTTAAGACAACCCACGTTAAAAAAACGTTGCGTAAATGAACTATAACTTATTTGAATTGGTCTAAACTCAAAACAATAATTGGCAGTCTAAATTTTTTTTTAAGTCATCCCAACAATGAAAAATTGCGCTTGTGTTCTAGTAAAAACATTGACGTGAATTTTTACGTGAAAAGCGTAAATCTAGTTTTATTTATGCATAGAATTAAGGCGTAGTTCTAATGTTGCTAAATACATACATGTTACATAAATGGTTTTGACAGACGTCCAGCAAACTCGCAACATAAATTGCACAACGGCGGGCAACGTCGCCAATTTGAGTCGCGGTGGTCGCAACATATCAATTTTGGATCGTGCAATATCGCAACATATCTTTCTCGGGTCGCGAAAGAACTCGCAAAACTTTTCCGACACGCAACTTTGCGAAATATCCATTTTGAGTAGCTATGGTTGCAATAGACTCATTTTTAATCGCAATAGTCGCAACAGCAAGTACGCGACCTCATGCAGGTATATTTTTTCTGCATCTGAGAAAAACGAACGTTTGATGGAAACTTGGTAAAATTTTTTATTACCACATATTAGTCGATCAATTTTGCTATTTTAACTTATGTCAAACTGGCAATCACTGATTAAAGATGGTCACTACAATACAACAGATTAAAAATTCATTTATATTTGTTTCGCAGGAAATTCAGATTCAGATGTTTGATTTAAAGAGTTATCCTAGAATTAGCTGCGATGTGCCGAGAACAAATATTCGTTAAGCGTACTCTAAAGAAGCTTTAGTGCGATTGTTTATTTTTTTTCTAATGAAATAGTTTTGAGAAAAAGTTGTATATTCTCTAACCCATTTGACTTTCAAATAGCTGGTAGTTTTTCACAGCAGTTGGTTTTAACTTAGGTCAAATTCACAAACACTGATTAAAGAGGGTCAATACAAGCAACAGACTGAAATCTTTTTTTTTATAGTTGTTTCCTGAGAAAAGCTCCAGGTTTATAGGCTTATTCGGAGAGTTATCCTGGACTTAGCTGTGATGTGTCAAAACGAAATTCTAAAGATGCCTTAATGCGATTGTTTATTCGACTCTTCAACGAAAATATTCTTGCATAAAAAAGATGCACATTCTCGAATCAAATTGGTTTTTAAAAAGCTAGCAATTTTGGCAACTGTTGGTTTTATGGGTCAAATTCACAATCACTGATTAAAAATGGTCACTTTAAACAGCAGACAAAATTAGCGTTTTTTTTGTTTTGTAGAAGATTCAGTTTCAGATGCTTACTTTGGAGAGTTTTCCTAGTGTTAGCTGTGATATGTCGAAACAAAAAAGTCTTCATCAACTGTTCGATCATAATCAATTATTTTGTCATGTTATGGTGAGCTTCTATAAAATTACAAAATAATCAACTGTAATCCAATGAAAACGGATTATAATCCTAATAAAATTTTTACACGGGATTTTTAAGAGGTTATTGATGAAATTTACAATTTTGTTTAAAGTTTATCTCATTTCTGTTTGGTGCAGTTGGTATACGTGTTGAGTTTCGTAACTTCTTGCATCTCACTTTTACTTTTTTTTGCTTAGTGTATATGTATTTACATTTTTTCAAGTTATTCTAACATTTCAAATTTTATATTTTCTATAGATTTTATATACTTATATTTTTCTAAATTAAATAAATGGTTGAACTAATGACTAACGAAGGTAAACATAGGGATATGGTCTGTTGAACATATTTGAATTTTTACCTCTTTGTGCAAGTTATAACTGAAGCATACATTAATTAGAATTTCTTGCAAAATTTGGAAAACTTCTGCAAGAAAATGGATTGTAATTGGTTATAATTAATTTTACATTTCGAAGTTTACATCTGTAATGAACTATAATGGATTATTTTTGTCTCGGAAATCCTTAATCGATTAAAATTCATGGGCGCTCGGTGCAGGTAAAACTATTTTATCCTGAACTAAATATAATATGTGTCAATTTGAAAAAAAAAAAGATGGAAGAAACCCATTTCTCGAGAATGAAAGATTGAGGATTAAATCAACGGTTAATCTTGTGCTAACTTTGCAGCTAGAAATTCGCAGATATTCCCTGTTGAAGAGCTCCTTTTTAAATAAGTTCTTGTATTTCAAGTTTTCGACCAAAAAAGCTTCAATGAATTTTTAGTCGAAAAGCGCCGGACCATAGCCACAATTTGCTCATGCCAGAGGGTGGTTTTAGTTATAAATCAGCTAATTATTTCAATGGTTGTGAAAAGATATGAAATAGTATAGCCTCTTTGTGCCAGACTTATAACAAACAGAGAAATTGAGATAGAAGTGGTGTGATTTTTCCTATTAAATCTATAAGACAGAGCTGAAAAATCTGGATTAAACAAAATTAAATATAATTTGCTGTTCGTTTTACAAATAAAAGGAAGCTTCCTTTTACGTCTCTGTAGGAAGCAAGTGCAACTCAGATTTTAATAGATTTACCAATTTTTTTAATTTCAGAAGTCAAAATCAGACACGTCTTTTGAATCATCAAAACCGGGAATGATTTTCGAAAGAGTATATCGATTTTTTCTAATATTTTGATTTGTGAAGATCGTTTAGAACAGAGGGAAGATCTAAGAGGGATAGGAAAATTTTTAAATGAAAATGCACTTTTTGGAAGGTTTCCACCTGAAACTCGAGTTTTTTGGGCGCGCACAGAAATTGTATTTGGTCGACCTAGAAAGGATTACAACTTTTGATTACAATTTAATTTTCATGCTCTGAATGCAAATAAAACAATAGTTTTTTATTAATTTTTATTTGAAATTGTCTCGAGGGAGATCAATGATAAAGCCAACGAATTGTCAAGTGCCTTTTTTAATCCGAATTTTTCTATTGAGAAGACATCCCATTTTTAAGGCTGAATACGATTCATTCAAACAAAAGCTCTATTTCGATTGGTCGGTTCAAATAATTTTTAAGACTGTTATTCTTTTGGGAACTAACCACCTTTTGCTCATTTCAAATAAAGTCTTTTACAGTATTTAGAGATTCATATAATTATTCTACAAACGCCATCATTTCATTTTAGAATATCGCTCCAATTTTTCCCAAGCCACATATTTTCTGACCGTTTACTATTTTTAAGCTAGTTATCGTTAACTTTTTTGGCTATTATGAGCTAATTAACCAAAAATATCATTCCAATTTCATACGATTCAGTTTTTAAAACTTTTGCTAGCTCTTCACTATTAATTTCGGGTTTAATTTTGCTTCAAAGTTATGAATCTTCAACGAATGAAAGGCTGTCATAGCCGAATCGCTCGCTACTGCAAGTTCGGTTTAGTCGAAATGCATGAATTCGAAACTTGGATCGCACACCTCTCGTTTGAAATCAACCAAGTCGTCTCGGCATCTACTACTAACATTTCGAGAGCGGTTATCGACTCGGATCCGAATTCAGTGTTTCCTATTGAGGAAGAAGAAATGGCTGACTCTGATTGGTCGGTTCTGTGTGACGAGTTTGATGCACGGTACGAGAGGTTCTGGGATATGCTGCTGGTTGCAAGTTGGGTTCAAATTCTGATCTGCGTTCTCGGAATACTTATCAATTGCATTTGTGAGTAGACAGAATTTTTTTTCAAAACCAAACTAGCCGGCTGTTTTGCATTTAGTCTAATATGAGACTAGCTTCAAATTTGTAATGGAGTTGTTGAACAAGTTTGGCTGATTTTTATTGTGACTTATGATGAAAATGACGGAAGAGTTATGATTGGGGTGGTTTTTAGTTTTTTAAACTAACAATTTATTGCTTAAAACCTGGCATTGCTTGTAGTTGGAATCTTTGCAAAAAAGGGAAACTTCTGAGTTTTTTATTTGCAAATAGTTTACACAACAATTACTTCAGATACTTTTAAAGACAAACAGAACAATCAGAATTCCGCCCTGATACGAGCAGTCCTGCTTGTTGTTTTTATGACAGTAAAAATGATGGAGCATCTAGTTTTCTGATTTTTTTTTCTCCAAACAACCCGCCTTTAAGAAAAGTGAAAACAAATCGATTATAATGGATTTTCGTGGTCTAAAATGTTGTAAATACAATCGATTCCAATGTTACGTTCAGACAACAAAATTGGACTAAAAATCGATTTAAATCCTTTTTTTCTCGCCAAAACAAAACGCATTAAAATTCACAAACGCTAGGGGAGGGTAATGGAAGGGGGATTAGTCCACCTCCAATTTTACTCCCCCTCTAATAATTTAACAAAATTGTTGAAAGGAGCAAAATTCAGTTTTTGAGTAACATAAAAAAAAGAAACAAAAATATCAAAGTTCAAAGTTAAATTGAACAACAAAATTAAATTGAACAACAAGTAACCAACGTAACCAACTTTAGTCTAAAATGTAGAAAAAACTTTATGTGTGTTGAAATTCGCATCTCAGTAAAGTGGAAAAAAATAGATTATAATATATTTTTTTGTCAGTTCCCACAAAAGTAAAAAATATCGATTATTATGGATGAAAAAAGGATTTTGTTGCCTCGAAAAATAGCAATATTATAATCCATTTTGAATTGATTATAGTCGATTTGTTTTCACTTTTGTGGACACTGAAAAGGAAACTCAATTATAATCATTTTTTTTCATGGAACTCTCATGCGGAAAGCTTTGACATTTCGAATAGTTTTAAATGAATTTTTTATGGATACTGAAACACTATATTTCTTTGAGTCAAATTGTATGAACTTTTAATTTACCAACATTGTATGAACTTTCAATTTACCAAAATTGTAAAACTTTCAATCAATTTTGGTAAATTTTGAGGTTTTGAAAATTCTAAAATGGCCAATTTCCTAATATTGAGTTGAGGGCGGTAATTATTGGGTCGTTATGTGCAAAATATGTGATAACAAACAAATAAATATAAATTCAGCAGTATCACAATGATACACTATTAACAAGAGCTGCATCAAACTGTTGTCACTAAATAAAAAAAAAGTTAAGGCTTGCAACTCTGTTTAGGGTCAGCCAAAAATTTAACTAAAATATATTCTGTAACCTAAAAAAAAAAAGCATTAAGACAGATTATAGAAAATCATTTCATTAACGTCCTGTTCCTTGTGTTCCCTTCGTTAACCTGTTCTTGTCGTGTTTAAACTTTTCGGACAAAAATATTTTAAGATTTTTCAGTCATAATATGCCTGACATTTCAGCCGATATCAGTTCAGTTAGAGACATCTGAAACAGCTTAGATTAGCGGCAAACACTGACTCTCGCGCAATATTTTTCCGTATGGATTGTTGACGCAGCGCAGCGAAGCTGATCAATCCTTCGCTACTTGCCAATGCCGTAAGTGTTCAACAAGTTATAGATTTATTGCCGCAATGGTATTATGGCTGAAGTTTCTCCGGTTTAAGTGTCTTGATTTTTTTGGACGAAATGCCGTAAGCTCAAAATCCCTAAAGTTTCTCTGTCTAACTTTATGGTTACTGGCTCTCGTAATATGTTTATATACCTAGAATTTTTGCAATGTTTCAATATTTTTAAACAAAGAGCTGCTTTTTTACAGAGAATAAATCAAACGTAATTTAAATTTGTATAAAAAAAAATTATCAATTTTTCAAGAAGAGTTTTTCATAGTTTATTATTAGTTTTTGAAAAGTTTATTAAATTTTTTCAAATACAAATTGTTCAGGACGGAACGATAATAGTAACATATTCAAGACTTTGCTCTCAAACACTCCTAATTTCGTTTTGCGAAAAATCTGTTGCCACATACAAACATTTTCTGTAAATGATTTTCATTTGTCTTGTCAAAATTCGTTTTGCTGAAACTCGATGAAAAAATTACAACGTTTTACATCATAAATCGAACTAATTGTTGGATATTTTTTTTCAATGTTTTCTATTTGAGATTTTTGCTAGATTTTATTAAGTTTTCCTATGTTTTTTCTTTTCCCCCTGTCAGAAAAAAAATAGTAAAATTGTTTTTTAAACTTTTGAGAAAATTGTATTGATGCGGTTAAAATTATTAGAAAAATATCGATTGCAAATTGAGGACATAAGTTTCCTTCAGTTGTCTTAATGTTTTTATGGATGAATTAGTGTTGAATTCTCTTTTCGGTTAAAAACAATGCAATACTTTTTTGTTGAGTTTCTTCTGTCGAGATGGCATTTCGAAGCAAGCTACTGATTGATTGTGCTCGGTTTGTTTTTTTTCCAACAAGTTTTAAGTGCTGAACATATAGTTTACATAATATTTTATGGTGCCTGGATTCTGAAGTTAGCAGATCTAGATACATTACCCTACAATCTTTTTGAAAAATTATGTGGTTTGAAAACTGCCATTTTGGCTTATCTGGTATAATTAAAATCGGCATGATCAAAGAAATTTCAATTTAATTATTGGGTAGCGTAAGCGGCGAATTAATCAGGGTTAAAAATAGTTCGAACTAATATAAGGCATTCTAATAACTTTAAAATTGCTATAGAAGGATTTAATTATATAGCATTGCAATTGAAATTGCGTAAGGGAGAAGTATTTTTAAAAAACAGATTAAGCCACAAACAACATGAGAGCTATTAAAAGGCACCGGGAACCTTCAGTACTTCGCTCTGATACGAGCAGTCTAATTTTTTGTAAATATAGTAACTAATTCCAGCTGACGATTTTGTACATGCGTAACTTAAAATGATCCTGGAACTATTATTTCAGTTAAAATTTCACCATAAGATACTCTAAAAGCAGTGACTGGTTTTTATACTGTTTTATCTAAAGTTTGCTGAAAGTTTTTATAAAGGTTGGATCCAAAAAAGGTAAAAACTTTGATTTTTTTTATTTCGTTTTTCGTTTCTATGAGAAAGTTCTTTTCTCACCAAACGTCAAAGTGATTTGTTGTGTCCAAATGCGGGCGAAACTATGGTTTTCTCGAGGTGATGCGGATTTTAAAAAACTTTTTGGAGGTAGACTAACTTGATTTTTCAAAATTCCAAATAACTAGAAAGACTCTTTGGCCACGTTTTTTGCACTACAGGCGATTTTTTGAAAATCAAGCCAAAAAAGAAAAAAGGCGTTTTTAGCCACTTTTTGGACACTTTCGACTGATTTTTTTTTCGGAATGGGCACCTCCTTCAAAAACAGTACACCTTGGCGCCAAAATTTCCTTAGAAAGTTTTTTTGGAAGAACCTGCCAAAAATGGAGGTCTGAAACGCTGAATAAGGGAAATATAGCAGAAATAATTACCAAAATTGGGCCGCAAATCCAATATTTGACACCAATTACTTTCTAACAAAGTTGACTGCAGTTCGGATATCTTCGAGCATTTAAGCCGATGACCAAAAATTCCGTAAAAAATTATATTCAAGAAGTTATTTTTTTCTCTAGAAAAACCAAACCGTTCATAATCTCTCCGTCGCTTTCGTCGAAATTGGAAGAAGCAAACGATAATATCGAAAACCTTGTATTCCGATTTAGCCTCATGCACAATGGCGTGCACTGAAATTTTTCTGAAGGGGGGGTTTCGAAAAAAAAGTTTGAACATTTTGCGGACCTTTTGTTTTTCAGGTCGATCAATGTAATTTTCCAAACTATCCAAAAATACCATAAGGACTAATTTTTTTTTCAAAAAAAAAACAGGCCAATAAAGCGTTTTTAGGCACTAGAACGTTTCGACAAAAAATGCGATTTTTTGGCGCGCGCTCTCCCTCAAAATTAGTTAAATTGGTGCCTAAGGCGTCTTTAGAAAATTTTTGGTTGTTTCGCCAAAAATGAATGGCGTAAAGTTATAGCAAAGGGGGATCCTTTGGAAAAGATTGGCAACCAGAACCGAGAAGAAAAGCAATCGAACCCCCCCCCTCCTCCCCTCCCCCTCGGCACGCTACTACGCAAACAAAAATAGCCAACAACAACCTAATTTTTTTCGAAATTGTAGGTAAATAAATGATCATTATTCTGGTTTTAAAAATAATGAACATCGATTGGAGAGAAAAGCGGAAATTTTTGTTTAATGTTTTTTTAATTCTTGCTTAATTCTCTTCTCAATTCTTTAATCTTGAATGAGCGCCCCTTCCTTTATGTCGGCAGAGCTTCAAATTAATTTATACCAAAAAGATTTGGAGCGACGATATCTAGGCAATTCTAGATAATCCCAAAAGACCCATTAAGATGGCGACGTTTTATGAATCGCCATTAAGTTAAATAAGCCAAGGATCAATCAAATGCTGAAGAGAACAACACTAGCCTTAAGATAACAAAAAAGCATGCTTAAATCTGGCTTCAATTCTATAGTAAAAAAATTTATATTGATCAAAATAACCCCTAGTTTTAACGGAACAGGGGAGAAGGCAGTAATAAGAGGAAACGTGATTGCTTTTCCTTCACTCCGGGTGTGGCTAAATTTGTCTGGAAAAAAGCAAACCAAGCTCTATAAAAGCTGTTGCTGTAATTGAATGTTAAACACAGCGACCAAAATGGTAAACATTTTCTTCTAAAAAAGCGTTAAATTTATCTTCAACCTTGTAAAAAATATTAAAACTCCGAAGAGCTTTTATTGTGCAAATTTGAATAACATTTGAAACATCAAATTGAATCAAGAGTAGTAGCAACCCGGGTTGACTTGAATGTACGGAAAAAGTTCATAATTCAATTCCTGGAAATTCTATATCCAAATCCCTGCAATTCCATGCAAGAAAACTGCTCATCATGCAATTTCCGTTTATGATAATTCTCAATTGAAAAAACTTCCAACTTTCAAGTATTTTTTTCTACTCTCAGTCGCGATATAACTTTTATGCTCAATTAAACATTTATCGAAAGAAAAATTGCGCATCTATATTGTTTTGGTTTCATACTAGTAAAGTTTGGGACTAAAGATTGTCTAGTCATATACAAAAACTAACAGTTTTTAATCATAGTTCAGTGTGAACTATAAAAAATTTTCTCAACAAATATCGTATATTTGTCTATCATCTGAGCAAATTCTTCCCTTTTAAGCCGTGGATTCTCCTATGCAAAAAATCCTTGTTGTTCCGACTTTCGATACGAAAGTAACGGAATATTTGTGCTCGGGTGGGTTTTTTTTTTCTTCAGCTAAATTTCGACTTTTTAACTAGCCATTTTTGACGGCATTTTTTTATATCATTCGAAAGGTATTGTTGTCTTGAGCTCAAATTTGAAAAGGTATTTCACATGTGATCATTTTTTTGGAGTTACGGGGTTTAAAGATTGCCATTTTGGCCAATTTGGGACAATTAACGCGCGATATATTTCGCGCTATTAACGCGTAAGCGGATATTTAATCCTTCTTAGAATTCGTTCCAAATTGGTTGAATGAAGCTTATTTGCCCTTATTGATTGGTTACAAGGAGCGAAATCTTTCCTTTTGTACTTTATATGGCGTGTGGGGGGATGATTTTTATAAAAAATTTTCATTTTTCATTTTTTTTTCATTTTTTTTTCCATTCTGTTTCATTTTTTCAACGAGCAGTCTTGTTTATTGTGTTTTTGAACAAAACATAAAATATTTCTCAAAAATGAAAAAATTATGGTTTTGTTTACGGAAAAAACGCTTGTCATTCAATATTCGTGTATGAAAAACTGTTCAATATATAGAATTGTATGACAAGAAATTTTTCCTATACGGAAACTGAAGGATTGGAATTTTGGGTCAACCCGGGATAGTAAAGAACGTTCAGTCGCGGTCTGAGTGCTCAAAAAATAGTTAAAAGTTATCTCTGAAATTTGGGATCATAAAGTGTTTGCTAATCAGGCTTAAACTTAAAAATAGTCTTCATCTAAAGGGAATTTAACTAGCAATTTTTGACGGCATTTTTTTAACATCATTCGAAAAGAATTGTTTCTAGCTCAAACTTAAAGATTTGCTTCACTTGTGATCATTTTTTGTACAGTTATGTGGATTTATTGGTTGCCAGTTTGGGAAGTTGGGACAATTAACGCGTGATTAATTTAATACAATTAACGCGTAAGCGGAGATTTAATCCGTCTCTCTCCAAATTGGATTGAGGCATGCATTTTGAACTATTTAATGTATGGTTTTAGGTTAAAACTATCAATTTGTGTTTTACAAAGCGTGTGGGGGTATAGTTTTCAACACAATACTCAGAAAAAAATTGAACTTTAAATTATTTTTTTTAATTTCATCAATTGCATTAATTCAAACTACTCAATAGAAATTCAAAATCATTCGGAATATTCAGAGCTTTGCGCTGATATATGAACAGTCTTGTTTGTTTTCACATTCAATTTTGCTCAGATAATTGTGATCGAATCAACGAAGTTTTTTATTTCACTTGGTATTTTTCATATTGCATGCCTTGCATGTATTTTTGATTTTCGACCTGATAGACCAAAAATAGTTTTTCGTAGCAATTTCTTATATATCATCAAAAATTCAACCGTACTTTCAAAATTTTTCTTTAATTCCAATAACTTGAACTGAAAACATTGAAAAGTTATTAATGGCTTAGTTAAACTCATTAAAGTATCAAATGTTTCAGGGTTTTTCAGCTATTTTTTGAAAATTTTAGCGAAAAAAATATTGTCAGAAGCATAATCAATTCCATTGTCTGAATTCCAGTGTGAGTCCAAATTTTTTTTTAAATCAAAGCCAGTATTCAGAACCCAAATTTTCCATTAGTTATCATATACATTTCCGTGCTTGAAAAATTATCTCTAAGCAAAATTTGATTCTTTGAGACAAAAACAGATTGAAGTTACTAAAAATTTATTTGGTAAATTCCGTAGACTCGAAAAAAGTGTTAGTAAAATAAATTAACCACAGTTAAAAAAAACATCAGTTTTGCAAATGCAGGTAATGGGGTTGAAAGTTCTCCGCATGCGGGTAATTTTTTGCTCGGCTATGATTTTGAAACTATTTTGAGATTGCATAATACAATTGCCCTTTAAACAATGAATACTTTATTAACTTAAGATGAACTAAAAAGAGCGATCACCTCTAGCTAACCAGTGAAGTGGAAAAGTGGTGGAAATTCTATACTACGTATTATGAGGGAAAGGCGGTTGCTGTACCAAGACCACGACCCCCTCCCCCTCCCCCTCCCCCGCCCCCCTCCCCCTCCTCCTCCCCTGCCCCCTCTCCCTGCCGTGGCAGCTTACGTTCGCGTCGACAAAACAGGATGCAGCAAGGAAATGGGAAATGGGAAATGTCACATTAGAGACTACAAAATGATCATTTTTGCCGGAAATAGAAATGGACTTGAAAAAAAGAGTTCTGTAATTTTGATTGAGTTCCAGTTTGTCAGCCAGGCAGGATCCAATCGAATTGGAAACGTTCAAAGCGGGACGGAAAATTGTGAAATAATTGAAAAGTTGAAATACGAGAAAAACTTTTTCGCAGGGTTCTCCAAGTTGACATTCTTTTTCCATTATTTTGCAATTTCCTTCGTCCACGAACAAATATCGCTGCTATTTAACTGCCTACACATTTTTCATTTATAGATTTCGAAGAAAGAAAGCTGTAATTAAGTTAACAAGTCCCTGCTGCGAGCCCTTGTATGTTTTTTGTTCTTTAAAAAAAACGTAACAAAAATATATACATACAAGCATTGTTTATGTAGATTTACAATGCAATATTATGTAGGATTTACGAAACTTGTTCGCTAAAAACCCCCTCCCGATATTTCGAAAGGATGTCCGGGTCGAGGTCCGCGACTTAAAATAAAGAATTTGTAAGTCGCGCCGCATACAGTATTTAGAGAAATTCGTAGACACGCCGTAGTTTTTTTTATAAGACACGCCGCTAAATTCTTTTTTTTTTAAGACGAGCAGTCAAAATCAGTGTTTCCTGTAGAGTCGAGCCCAATGTATTTTCTTAAGACACTCTGCTGAAGTTTATTTCTAAGCTTTTTCTTAAGTCGTGCCGCCAGTCTTTTCGTAAATTGCGTGGTCAAAACTTTTTCTTATGTCGCGCTGGTAGTCTTTTTTCTTAAGCCGCGCCGCTTCAATTTTTTTAAAAATCACATCGAAAAAGTTTTTTAAATCGTGTCGCTTCAGTTTTTTCTTAAGTCGCGCAGCTAACGTCTTTTCAAAGGTCGAGCCGCTTTGAGTTTTCTTCCAATCGCGCCGCTAGAGTATTTTGGTAAGTCACGCCGCTTAAGAAATTTCTTAAGCCACGCCGCTTCACTCTTTTCTCAAATCGAATCGCTTAATTTTTTCACGCCACTTAAGTCTAAGCTGACTAAAGAAAAGATTAACAAAGCGACTTAAGAAAAGTCAGAAGCGGCGCGACTTAAAAAAGACTACCTGCGCGACTTATGCGAGGACTGACGGCGCGACGTAACAAAAACTTTAATGTCGCAACTTTAGAAAAAACTGACGGCTTGACTTAAGCAAAAAAAATACGCAGTGCGAATTAAGATCAAACTGACGAGCGTCTAAGAAAAGATAGAAGGCACGACTTAACAAAAGACCGAAGGCGTGACATAAGCACTGTTTTGAGGAGCGACTTAAAAAAATTTTGGCTGCAAAAAATGAACAAAATAACAAATTTAAAACAATATAAAAAAGACTGGTTGTCGACTTAAGAAAAGAGTGACGGCGCAACCCAAAAAAACTCTCGGTTTTTTGTTTTGTCGTGCCGGTCGCGACGTATTGTTTCCACTCGCGGCGGCACGGATGTGGCCTTTTTTAGAATGCCGATTGTACTTTCTTTTAAGTCGCGCCTGCCGCGACGGGTTGTGTGGTCGCGCCTGTTGCGGTGCTTTTTTTAGTCGCGCTTGTCTTGAATAGGCAAGTTTCAGTCGCGCCCGTCTGGAATTGCCTGATTTGGGTCAAAGTCGCTTCTCAAGTTGCAGACCTTGACCCAAGGGGGGATTTCATTACAAAGAACATAATTGTATATATAATCAGGCGGCTTTTCTACCATATCCATAACCCAAACCATTTTTGAGCATAAACATGAATTTTACGATGTAATCATTGGTTTTACGAAATTTCACAGGAGAAAAAATGTGTTTGTGATTGCATGATGAAAATTGGACTATGTGGACAAAAATTAACGAAGGAAAGAGCATGTAGTTGGGAGTATCTAGAAGAGCCCCATAGGCATGGAGTGGGGATTTTAATTTATCTTCATTCGTGGTGTGTTTTTGAGGGGGGGATGAAGTCAATTGTCTTGATTGAAACAATAATTTGCTGCTCGTGTCGAGCTGGGATCTTTTTCCTCCATAAAATGGTTGTTAACATTGTCCGATTGTTATGAAAATTGACATGTAAACTGATTGAGCCATGGCAAGCACACTTAAACTTTGAACTCAGCCATGTAAAACCACTCGTTACACCATAAAATTGATGCTCGTGTAAGGTAGGGGAGGGGGGGGGGGAGGGTGAGACCAAAAAAGAGCTTCGATATTCGATATGTCACTATTTTTCAGTTCTGACGAGGATGTATAAGCCGAAACTGAGCTTCTATTTAGTAGTGGTTGAGTGGTTAATAATTTCATTAATGGTTAATAACTTCATTAATAATTTAAAAGTTAATAGAGAGGTCATGTTTCTATATTTTTTTTTTCAGTTTTGACAGTTGTGTATAAGCGGAAGCTGACTTCATCAACAGACGTGTACTTCCTCAACTTCGCCATCGCAGACCAGTGCATCTGTCTTTCTGTCATCATCAAAGTCCTCCCCTCTTTCTCCTCCCATCCCACTGTAGTTCAGGTGACGTCATCAAGTCTGTGGACAGTGTCAGTCGACTGTTTCCTACAGTCAAGTTAGTAATTCCCCCTTTTTGTCCCTAATTTCGAAGAAAGTGGCAAATATATATATATATATATGCTTGAGGTGGTTTTTTATATTCAAACCTATTTTAAAAAGAAGGTTGGCTGCGTATGGGGTATCGATCCGGAAATCTTTGGGCTCCCAAGCGAGTATTCTTGTTCTCTTTTATACTGCTTTCATGGTAATTTAGCTTCTTTTCAAGGATAACGCATAAAATAACGATTTTCCACGGATTTTCAAAAAACTTTCGAACATTTTGTCGACCTTATTTTATAGGTCGTTTAGGTGGGGTTTTTTCGCGATCCCAAAATTACTAAAAAGACCCTGTTTTGGCCATGTTTTGGAGGTCTCAAGATAATACCAAAGGGGGATTATTGAGTAGTCAGGGGGTCGAGTTCCTGAGGGGGAGGCATCGCACCCCCTTCCCCCCAAATCCGCTACTAATAGAGTACATAAAGAACGGTTCAAATATGTTCAAAATAGTTGCCTGATAACCGTTTCAAATCTTTTTACATTATAAGAACGCTTTAATAGTTTTTTCAAATTTGAGTTTCCAATGCTTCATGTTTCCGCCAACAGTTTCAGCATTTTTTACTTAATTTGATTACATAAACACTTATGAATCATTGCCTGTTATAAGCCGACTCGCTCCTTACTTTTCACGGGATCTTGGGATCTTTTGTAGGCTAATTTAACACAATTACTCTCTGGAATGAGAGATTAGAGCTTCATAATGAAACAAATGCTTCATAAGGAAACAAACGTTTTTTTTTAAACTTTTAATCTTTTTATTTTCGAAGTAAGTAACTTTTAAATTGAATTTTTATTTTTTTCAGATTATTTTGGCATTGAAAATATTGCTTTTCTGAAGGAAAATGTATTATACGTCACAAAATCGGCAACTTCCCAAATTCAAAACAATTCAGCTGCAATCAACTTTTTGGTAAAGTTCAGTAATTTGGCAATGTTATTGGACAAATTTATGCGCGCTGTTAAGAACTTATCTTTGATGATGAAAACGTCAGCGCAAACCATTTGAGCCTGGCAATTTCTCTGTCAAGGCATTGGCCTCATACAAAGACTTTAAAAATTTTGGTCTCATACAAGCAGTCTTGTTGAACCGACGGTCGAACACAACGATGTTATTTGAGCCAAACTCCATGGTCGAAAACAGCCCTTTTGTTCGAAAACAAAAGGCATTTTTTCTTATTCCTCCCAAAAATCAACAATTCAATATCTTGATATCTTGAACTGAAACTATTGTTCCGACTTTCGATACGAAAGTAACGGAATATTTGTGCTCGGGGTGGGTTTTTTTTTCTGCAGACAAATTTCGACTTCTTAACTAGCCATTTTTGACGGAATTTTTTTATATCATTCGAAAGCTATTGTTGTCCTGAGCTCAAATTTGAAAAGATATTTCACCTGTGATCATTTTTCGTAAAATTATGGGGGTTTAAAGATTGCCATTTTGGCCAATTTGGGACAATTAACTCGCGATATATTTCGCGCTATTAACGCGTAAGCGGAGAGTTAATCTGTCTTAAAATCGTTCCAGATTGGTTGAAAGAAGCTTATTTGCCATAATTGCTTTGTTACAAGGAGCGAAATCTATCCTTTTGTGCTTTATATGGCGTGTGGGGTGATGATTTTTATAAAAAATTACAAATTTTAGAAGAAAAAAAATTTCGTATTATTTTTATTACATTTAATTTTTTGATGTTATTACTGCTCCATAAAACCTTAAAAGGCAGTCGAAACATTCATGGCTTCGCCCTGATACGAGCAGTCTTGTTTTGCTTCTTTTTAATTAGCTACAAGAAGCCAATAAAATTTCTGCTCCATTTCAAAATGTTTTGTATACAATTTTAAGTCGACTTATATATAAGCTGATAAAGCCAAAAACAATTGTTATTTTGAAAATTAATCATTTTTAATAAAATAACCTGCAGAGTTTTACCCAGACAAGAAAAAAACGCAGCAGAAAATAGATGCAGGAAAAATACCAAACACCAGCTCAAAATTCGTTCTGGTTAGAAATTGGCTAAAAGTTAAAACGATTCCATCTGCTAACAGTGTTTTCCTCTCTGTGCTTATACATTCCATACTACAAAATTGCAAAATTAGGAAATTTGAGCGGAATATGTAAATAACTTTCATTCAAATCCTAAACTGCTCATTTGACGTTGCAAATCATTTTTTTACCAGGTTGAACAAAAATCGCTATATTAGAATTTTTCTATAAAGTTTTTTATAGCTTCTTACAAAATTAGGCTCTAAGAACCCTACAAGATAGGGACTTTTTTTTATAATAAAGATGTATGACAGCGACTTTTCTTATAAGAAAGTTGTAAGATAGGAACTGTTCTTATAAGAAAGTTGTAAGATTGCAGATTTTTCCAAAACTTTCGGGTTTCTGGTGGGCATTCATCAGCTGCTCTGAACAAACCCATAGACAAATCTCATCAGCTGCTATTCAGAGCAAAACTTGGATTCCAGACAAAGCAAAGCTTTGCCCGATGTATAAGCTTTTTCAATCAATTGGGGCAATTTTTATGGCTCAACTAATAAAAGTGTACCCTGAATTGAATCACCACAATTGGAAGAAATATCGCGGTATTTATTAAGGTTTGATCATTTTAAAATTTCAAATTTCTGCCAATTTTTTGTGCAGTCAACACTTATCTTGCACCTTCATATTTTTTCCATAAACAATTGCCTATAAAAAGGACGAATATAATGTTGGGATCTCATTAACTATCTCCTCCATTTTGCAAAAGGGGGAGATTTGTTATTAGGTTCAAAATTTATGCTCAACCCTTGAATTATTTCTTTTTTGGGGTGGCATTTCCTTGGTAGGTACCCTAAGGGGGGATAGTTAAACAGATCCTAATTTTCGGCATTCAATATCTGCCTCCATTTGAAATCAATAGACAACTGAACTGATTATTCAAGTGATATCCATGCTAAATCATGAGGAATAAATACAAATTGAATTAGATAATTACCTCATATGCAAATTTTTACAAACGCAATTGTATTTATCATAAGTTTTCACAGAGATGAAAAATACTTATACAAAAAATACTTTATAGCTATTAGTGAAGGGAATTGGGTTATTCTTAGCTCATAATGAATGGAGTTTTCTCATAGACCATTCTTTAAGTTTTTAAAATTGGTTTCTGTGAATGTGTAACAGATTTGTAACCAGATTTTGAATTCCCAAAGCGAATTTAAAAAATGACTTCATTGAAGATAAAAGGCTAAAAAAACTGTGCAAACTGATTGAACCGATAGAAATCCTAATTCTTTTTTGGTTCAGTTTTTCCATTTTTGAATCCGCTGTTTTGGAAGGAATTTTGTCTCATCAGTTAGTTATTTTTAATGAACTAATTAGACGGTCTTGTTTAAAAAAGTCCTAGGAGACTATTTTCTCACCAAAATCCTAAAATTAGACATCGCTCTCAGATCGAATTCGATTGAACTTAATCAACTTTTTTTACTAGAAATATGAACACGATTAACCCACTACAGCAGCAAACAACACTACCTTTTTGATAAAACTTAGCAAAGGCACGAATCAGACTAACTTTTGGCTCATTTGATGTTCTGATTTAGTTTAGAGTTAAAGGAGTGATTTTTGAATACAATTTACCTATCAATTTGCATTTATGTCTATTACCCGTTTCGAGGTGCTCAAAATATGTTTCGACTTTGAAAGCCGAGCAAGTGCAGTTCTGCGACTGAAATTCTGCGGTCGAGAAGCAATTTTAAGCCGAGCACAAAGTCGAAACATGCCCGATTTTGATCGAGAAAGTCGAAACATAGGTCGATAAAGTCAAAACATGCCCAATTTTGGTCGAGAAAGTAGAAATATAGGTCGAGAAACTCGAAACATAGGTCGAGAAATTAGAAATATAGGTCGAGAAAGTCGAAACATAGCCAACTTTGGTCAAGAAAGTCTAAACATAGGTCGAGCACAGCCGAAACATACGCGATTTTGGTCGAGAAAGCCGAAACATAGTTCGAGCACAGTCGAAACATAAGTCGAGCACAGTCGAAACATAAGTCGAGCGCAGTCGAAACATAGGACGAGCACAGTCTAAACATAGGTCGAGCACAGTCGAAACTAACTTACAGCACATTCCAACTCAATGTCGAAAGACAATACAAACAGATTTTGCGCTCAAAAACAAAAATTTTGGCACATATTGAAATTTTTCATGAATTCACGGTTAACACTTTTATCTGATACTAATGTTTGGTTAACAACAAAAAAAATATCATAAAAAATCATAAAGCACTGAATAAACGCTGAAAAAAATATTAAGTTTCAAACAAAGGTTTTTTAAGTTTTTAAACCTTCATACGTCACCTACGCACAAACTAAACAATTCGGTTAATTAGAGTTATTATAGTTGTAATGGCACTTTTTTGTAGAAAATTTATGTCGCCTCACACATTTGATAGGAGTCTACTAGAAAAAACTCGCCTCCGACTACATAGAAAAAAAACTAAAATTATAGAGTTAACAATCACAAATCCTATAACTTTAGAAAATTTGATATCCCCATAAAGTTTACAGGAGCAATTGGCATTTGGTTTGAATCGTATGAAATTATTTTCTTTTTTTTTCGTGAAATTTTACCCCAACCTCAATGAAAGTACAAAAAGTTTACACTTTCGGCTTTTTAAGGCCATATAAGAATCAAATAGACTGCTCGTATCAGGGCAAAACCCTGAATGTTCCGATTGTCCTTTAACTGGTATTACTAAAATTTGAGTCATATATGAAAATAATCAGACCATTAAGCTTGCCTCAATTCATTTTTGAACGGCTTTGTTGTGCGGGATATTTCGCCAGGTGTAAACATTTTCCATATAATTTTCAGCATAAAAGGCTCAGCTAAATATAAAACGATCACTTAATTTAGACACGCTAACATACTGGTGTGCAAGTGGTCACGTAGGTCCGGGGACCAATTCCCAAAA